TTTAGGAACAACATTTACGTCAGAGTCCATGTGGATTTAAAGAACCTTGTTTCAGTATTCCTGTAATTCGTTGGGTGGAGTAACTTTTGCTCTGAGGGTTAAAGGCTAGATTCCCATTGGTGCCTCCCTCACTGAATGTGTATATGAATGAACGTAGTCTATGCACGCATACTTTAGATACAATCTTCCACTAGCTGAGCTGATGTATGTGTGTAAGGGTTGAGAAAAAGTTCAGTTTTGCAGAGCATTTGTGGCACTCATGTATATACGTAATTCACATGTTTTGCAAAGAGCCAGACATTCCTAGCTGATAAAAAGTGTAAAGATAAACATGCGTGTTTTCCAAAGATAATAAATAATGGAATTAAGCCTTTACATTCAATCTTTCTTTTTTTTTTGAGGAATTCAAAAGCTTTCTTGTTTCTCTTTTTTACTGTAGGTGTGGATTGATGCTGCCACCCAGATATTCTACTCACTAGGAGCAGGATTTGGGGTGCTCATTGCATTTGCCAGTTATAATAAATTTGACAATAACTGCTACAGGTAAGAGCTTGCACTGTATTTGTGAATTTTGATAGTCCAGGAGAAGCCGACAGCAATATAACATCCTGCTGTTTTTGAGCGGTCGGCCTTTTCCAGCATGTAACTGGATCACGAAGCAGCAGAGGTGATGCTAATCAGTTCAGCTGACCCCAATGGCCAGGTGTTAGCAGGATAGATAAAGTACAGGCCAGGAAGAGTTGCCAGATAATAGCCAAAGGCTGTATGTTGACTGGTTTGTGACAGTGCTGCACTTCTTCAGAAAAAGCAGACCTCAGGTTGTGGGCTTTGGCTAATCTTTTTCCACATTAATAGGTTGCAGTAGTGCTATTGGAGGCAGATGCTGTTGGCAAAACAGCAGTTTAACCTATCATAGTTGTAAATATACACCCAGCATACAAAACATAATTTGCTGGAGTTTGCTGGAGAAAATCTCTACAAGAGTTAAGGCTAAAATGAATTTGCTGCTGCCACCAAAAAATAAAAAAGGATTCTTATCAAATAATGATTATTCATTAAAAAATCTCCCAAAAGGGTGAAATAAAAAAAACGGGGCCTTATGCATTCCCTCTTTTTCATGTCCCGTTTAGAGATGTGTGGGGACTGCTGGCAAGTGGGATTTGCATTATGCCCTAGTGGAAAATGAACAAATCTGAACTAGGTGAAAGGCAGCTTTGTGAGAGCTAGTGATGTTAGAAATACAATTACATTAACTTTAGTTTGAATACCCACACAGATGGAGGAAGAAATCTGTTTAATAGTGAAGTGAATGAGTAGCAGTGTGTCCTCCATCGTGTGTGTGTGTGTGTGTGTGTGTGTGTGTGTAATGACCTGGTCCACCAGAGTAAAGCGTAAGACTGAATAAATTCTGTAAAGGTTCTATCACAGACTGCATGCAATACAACCCCAAGATCAACCCATGAAAACTTATTTTCACATATGGCCCCATTTTGACTTAATATGGTTGAAACATATTGGCTTACTTTCCCTGTTAAAACAAAGTTAGTGAATATTAAGCCAAGCTACAAAACACAATGTCGAAAATTAGATCAAGAAACCTAGCTTTCTTTTTAACTTGTTTTTGTTGTGTGTTTTCTGTCTTTAGGGATGCTCTCCTGACCAGCACTGTGAACTGTGTCACCAGTTTCTTCTCAGGGTTTGCCATCTTCTCTGTTCTTGGTTACATGGCTTACAAACATGGGGTGGATATACAAGATGTAGCCACAGAAGGTAAGTGCTGATAGTCCGGATACGACCACTATGCTAAAAAAAATACACCACACGATCACTGACTGCCTGTTGCTGTATGTTGCTGTTATTCTGTACATTGCATTAGCATATTTTGTATATTTTTTCCCTCACTTGCTTTGGTGGGTGTACAGGGGCAGGATTGGTGTTTATCATCTACCCTGAGGCAATTTCTACACTACCAGGCTCAACATTTTGGGCCATTGTGTTCTTCATCATGTTGCTGACTCTGGGCATTGACAGCTCGGTGAGTCCAAACAACCACTCCGACCGCTATATAGAACACAATCACATTCTTAGAAGTAGAAATCTTTTTATCTGGATGGAATGAACAGAGGACAGCTCTTTTACAACCATGGGTAGATACTAACAAGATGTTCAAGTGGCAATTAAATAAACATTTAAAAACTTACAGGTTGGGGCGCCCGGTTAGCTCAGTGGGTAGAGCTGGCGACCCATGTACCAAGGCTGAGTCCTTGCTGCAGTTCGAATCCGACCTGTGGCCCTTTGTTGCGTGTCATCCCCTCTCTCTGCCCCTCTTTCCTGTCTGCCTATAGCTGTCCTATCAAATAAAGGCATACAAAAAGCCGAAAAAATATACTTTAAAAAAAAAACAAAACGTACAGGTAGTACATGTATAAAAGCGCAAATACAAATATAACTCAGGTTGAGTGGTCAATATTACTGATGAAATGCATGCATACGGTGCTTGCAAAATGCTGGATATAGGTTTACATAGTTCTGAATCTAAAGATAAAGATAGATAAAGTTCTTCATCTCAAATGAGGAGTGACTTTTCCTGTTTTTGATCCAGTGCCACCTTTACTGTGCACATGGAGAACAGAGTAGACAGTGCACATCGAGGCATCCTCAGGATGGTAATGATACCATGTATCATGTTGGATAGCTTTGTTGAGTTTCCCATTAAACCTGACATTCGTTGTAAACTAATGGGCATTGAATACTCACTGTGCAAGTTAATCTCTGAGCAACTGCCATTTTCCCCCCTAAGCACCAATTTACTTTAATTGATGTGATGTTCCCATGACCTGTCATGTTAACAATTACTCTGCTATGTCATGGAAATAACACAGTAGAATGTAATCTAAATCAAGTTGACTAAATAAATGTCAAGTGTAATGTACTCCCAATTTTCTTTTTTTTCTCCTTTTCTCTTTTATGGTTGCACACTTTACAGCTCAGGTTCTGAGTGCTGTTGACTTTGCCAACTGTTAAATAAGCAGGGCAAATAATAAAGTGGATGAGAGTGGGCATCCACACCCCTTTGGTGTGTAAAACTGTAAACCAGTATGATTCTTGACAACTGATGGTATGGGTAAGTTGCTGAATTTGAGTAATAAGAGTAAAGTTGCGTGCAGTAAACTATGTCTCGGGTTCAGCTTAAGTGACTGTAAATGGTCTGCACCAACAAAAGCTTCCTTCTTTGACATTTCAAAAGCCAGCAGTAATTTAACAAAAACATCTTCCCTATGACTCACTCAGGCTCTAAATAAACATGGTTTAGTTATATCGCCTCCTATCTGTCAACAAAGTAACCAAGTAATTAACTCTTCATCATTCGTCATTTATCAAGTAGATCAGATGAAGACCATTTCAGTATTATACTGAAATATCATTATTATTATAATAATGTAAGATCTATAAGTCAGGAAGTCAGAACACCCCAATTTTCACAACTTCAACTGACCAGCCTGGAGACTGCAGGTCTTAACTTAATGAACATTTACTCACCTCAAGTGAGCAAAACCAGCAAAAAATGCTACATCTGCCTCCAGCCTCAGGGGACAGAAGACTTGAGTGGTTAAAGATGATTTTTGATGGCAACGTTTGTCTTTACTACTGACTGCTTTCTTAATGAGGGCTAACTGTTCAAGTTCAAAGATGGTTTGATAAGATTACCGGCTGTCCGTGACCCAAATTCAAACTTGGAAGCTGTACGTTTTATCTTTTTTTTCGTTTATGTTTTTTTTAGCCTTCTGAACTTTGCTTTAGCATGTTGCTAAGTGGCCACTGCCTCAGTCTGGGGGACTTTGGACTAATGTAGTCATATTGAGGGACAGTCAAGAGAAACTGAACAGCCTCATTTGAAGCCAACTAAATAACAAGAGTTAGGTCATATGCCCTTTTCTTCATGTGACTGCTCTATACTGTGTTAATTTTGTGTATGTTTCTGCTGTATGTAAATTTACCTGATAGACGTTCAATAAAGGTTAGGGTTGACGCGATATAGCCACGTGTCATAAAGAAATAGTCAAACTGCAGGGATTCATCTAATCTTACCTCATTAAAAATTACAGAATCTCTGAATGTGCAAATTATGTATGTAAAGTTTTCCTGCCAGACACAAGATGTCTCCTACCTAACTGTAAGTCCATTCTCACTGTATGTGCACTGGTGGCTTCCAGTTTTAGGTCCAGTTAGGGTGCATACTGGACCAGGAATGACTTCCAAACTATTTGTGATGTCAAATCGAGTTCATAGGCCTGATACTTCAAAATACGATTTTCAATGAGCACAGAGAAACTTTCCACTTACAGCAGATGAATGTGAAAACATCCTCCTAGTGTCAAACTCTGCACATACATCATTCTGCAGAGTCAAGAGTCCAGTTTTTCAATTTTTGTTCTTAAGAGAAAACTGTTCAGTTTAATATATATCAGCATACTAGTGATTATTGTAAATGTTTTTGTCAAGTGGAAGTTCTGAAAGGATCTCACCTGTAGCATACAAAACTGACTGAAATGCTCAAGTCAAAGTCTAGGAAAATGAGTGTCATGTCTCTCTCTGTTTGTGTCCACCAGATGGGTGGCATGGAGGCAGTCATCACAGGCCTGACAGATGACTTCAAGATCCTCAAGAGGAACAGGAAGCTCTTCACCTTCGCCACAGCCTTTGGAACCTTCCTGATTGCCCTGCTCTGCATTACTAATGTCAGTATCAGGTTTCAATACTTGATTGAAGTACTTGTCAAAGTCACACTTTCAGCATAATGCTTGCTGATGTATTGCTTAATTTTGTTTTTAACTCCTGAGTGGTAATTATTTAGTAAAATCTAGCTTTGCATTCATTTCAGTCATGTACAAATACTGTATAAAGAACTACCTACACTACAATTGTCTGTCTCACAGGACTGTCCTGTAGTGTCAAAACATGATGAATGAGATGAATGAATGAGATTTAAACTGTACGTCACCAATGCCTGGAAATAAGTATTCCAAGTCTCATGATGATATGTCGTCACCGAAAATAGCTTTTAAAAAAATGCAGAACTATTTCAAAGAAATGATCAAGAACGCTATTGCATCACACTCTGTTAACAAATTAGAAATAAAGCAGTGCCCAGGAAGCAAATGATTAATTTTCTCTGTTCATTCACATAGTATCAGCACCAAGGAGACATGCTTACTGGTTACATAAATACACACTTTTGAGCCAGAAAAAGTATTATGTTAGTGACTCACATGGTTTCTTCGCTTAATCAAATCAATAAAGTTATTGAGAAAGTGAATGATGCCTTTCCCATGCTAGTTCCCTGGCACAAGATACAAATTTGTACCATTCAGGATACAAATCAAAGATTTATAGTACAAAAGCTCCAATACAGAATCCCCTCTTCCACCATGAGAGGCATGTGTATGCTCAGAGGCCATTGGTTCGCTGACTGCACACAAAGATGCACTTCTTTTCAAGGATGAAGATTTATACACCTCACAGACACACAAACGCTGTATTTTCTCTCTTTCTCTTTCCCTCTCTGTAGGGTGGCATCTACGTGCTGACCCTGTTAGATAAGTATGCAGCAGGGACTTCTATACTTTTTGCCGTGTTGATCGAGGCCATTGGAGTGTCGTGGTTTTATGGTATGAAATTATACAGTACACTGGCATTAAATCATTTTTGTAAAATAACTACATTTATATTATGAACACTTGCCATTATCTATATATGACAAGAATCATCAGTGACATAAATGATCAGAAATATAAGATCAATGTAATAACCAGTCTACTTATCTCTGTGTACTTTCACATATGCAGTACTCCCTGTACTGCATAGGACAAAACATTGCCAAAAAAAACCTAAAAAGTCAAAAGATTGCATGCTGGAAGACACAGCAGGCCTATCTAACCGAGCTTACCTAGTGTATCTCTTCACCATATGTGACCCTTCAAAGGGGAAGAGGAATTTACAGAAAAACAAATGTAGAAACAAAAAATGGAGGAAACTCAGAAGGGCCCACATCAAGAGGTTTTCCATAGCAGGAAAATTGTGCAACTGGAGCAAAAAACACAACAATAAATATTGATAACAGCATGGCAGAATCTTGATGGGATAATGAAATAAATAAGTCAGAGACACATGATAAGTTATGTCAGCTCAAGGTCAGACCAGGAAAAAATAAATAAAGAAATCAGTAGACTACAAGAGTGTGTAGACCATCATGTGTTGCATTCCCTCCTACTGTCCAGAGAGACTGCATACTTTGCTCAAATATCTCGCTGTAGCCTACATTGATTTAATGTTGGACGTGTATAACATTGCTGTGTAACTTTTCATGCTCACTCCAGGTGTGGACCGCTTCAGCGAAGACATTGAGAAAATGATGGGCTTTAAGCCAGGACTCTACTGGAGACTATGCTGGAAATTTGTCAGCCCAGCTTTTCTGCTGGTAAGAGGAATAAAAAACATTTAAGTAGTTACATTGTGCTGTTATCCTAGACAGGGAAATGGATCAAAATTCAGCACATAAATCAACTAAAATGTATAAAAGAACTGACATTTAAAACTATAATGGTTGATGTCTTCTAGTAACTGTCATTCACAATTTTCTAAAAGCTGTACAAAAGGTATCATTCATTGCAGCAGGCAGTAAATATATGTTAGTTGTGTCAGTAATACAGTGCTGGCCAGCTCAGTTGTAAGATTTAACACAGAATTTTAAATGCATTCCTATTAGAATCAATAGCTAAAGTAATGTAATAACGTGGGTGGCACACAGGAAAAAGTTGTCACCCACCACCACAGAGACCCAGATTCAGTTATCACGTGTATGGGGCTTCTGGCTTGCACCCGGAGAGGAGGTGGGATCAGGGAGGATAGTTTGAAACTCAGTGCGCCTCCTGGTAAGTTCCTCTGCTGCAAGTAATACAGCTTGTGACTCATGTGCAGAGGAAGCACGTGGCTGTGTGCACTTTTGTCCAGGAGTTGGTGTAGACAGCCATTTGTATCAGAGGAAGCTCATGACTGTTTACACCCTCCCCTGGACAACAGTGTACGTTTGCAGTAACAAGGTCTACAATGCAGGAGAATTGGTCATTTCATATTGCGAGAAAAAGGGACAAATGCAAAAATAAATTACCATTGTTTACAGATATATTTTGGTGCTGCCCCAATGACAGGCCTTTGTACTCTAAAAGAGTACACACCCTTGGTCAAAAATTGCCAACTTGAAGTGCAACAATTAGATGTCCTTTTCTGTTAACATTTTCATCATGTACCATTGTGCTAGTAACACAGGAGATGATTAACGTGATTGAGAAAATAATGACACACCACCACACCCTAGAAAATTAGATTCCACTTCATCTGACCCTTGCATCTAATGATGTGCACTGCACGTATGAAAAGATTGCAAACATTACAAACAGCACCAATACAAATACATGTAACAATATATGTAACTACTTATGTGACAGTTTCTCTTTGTTCCTTTCTCTTTCTTCTCTCTATCACAGTTTGTGGTGATAGCCAGTACTGTAACATCGTCAGGCCTAAAATATGACGAGTACGTCTTCCCTCACTGGTCTAACGTATTGGGCTGGGGTGTGGCCATGTCCTCCATGCTGTTTGTTCCCTTCTACGCCATATATAAATTCTTCAGTGTGTCAGGAACATTCAAAGAGGTCAGTATACAAGGTGATAAAGCCAGTGTAAGATTGTGTGTAAGCACAATTGTGACTAAAGGGAATACAGTGTGCTCTTCTTTCAAACAAAACTTGAAAACAGCAATCTGATTTCTGAGCAAACTTTACTCTCTCAACCTGATGACACTGGCACCGTGAGAACACTTTCAAATTAAATGATAACTTCAAAGCATTGAGAGTTTATGACCATAATCATCCAAGCACCAGAGAGATATTTTCATCCCTCATCAGTCAGCCAGTGTCAGCTTCACTCTACTGTAACAATTCCCACATCCCATTGGCATTTCCCGTTGGTACTCAAGGTTGAAGATTCTTCTCAGGTTCTCAGTACACACAGTCTTTCTGAAAATTCCTGTCACCACCTATCAGGGTTTTGGCTATCTCTTCCTTAGAATGACCAAAATAAACATCGCTGAAGTTCTTGATGAGGATTCCTCACGGTTTCCCAAAGGCATTGGCATTTTTGTCAGAGATTTCTAATAATAATAATTTTTACTAATGTCTTGTGTTAGATTTGATTACATTCCTTGTTACATCTGCAAGTATTACGGCTCCTCTGACAATATGCAGATGTGAAGAATCAAGAAGGCAAGAATTTTACAATCAATTAAGACAAATATTTTTTAAGAAGATATATTGAGATATATTAAGAGGCAAGTGTGGGTTACTGTATGTCTCAAAGATGTAAAGAAGTGTTGCGAATTATGTGTGCTAATTATTTGTTTTGCAGAGAATAGCCTACTGCATCACTCCAGAACATGAACATCATTTGGTTGCTGAAGGAAATGTACGACAGTTCAAAGTAAGGATACATTTTTGTGCTTTCTAACAGTTTCTATTTGAACATGAAATGACTGCAATTAATCTAGATTTTAATACAATAATTATTTGTGAATTGATCTGTGCATCAACTATTACTATTATATCAAAATGAACAATATGAAGAGTAGAACTAAGAGATAATACTATGTGTAGGCCTTTTAAAGAGTGGCTTATAAAAACAACTACAGTAAATTGCATTTTTACCAAGGAAAAAAAACAGGCATCAGTGAGTAAGCGAGGAAAAAAACATCAACCAAGGCAGGTAAACTAAAATACAGTTAACATTAAGTCACAAAACAGACCCAGGACATTCTTTTGTTTTCCAGCTCAGACACTGGTTGGCCATCTGATGACAAATACCCAGAATTCCCTCATCCATCCTCACATCTGGTGTCTGGAGTTCCTGTGTGCCGCCAGTGGTCGGACAGACAAGGAGAGCGACAGGCTCCAACCTCTCAGCAGCCTCCCCTCTTCTCCCTGTGCATTTACTACCCAAGGCCTTTGTTGTCAACAGGAGCTTCAAGCACTTTGATTTCAGAGCTATGCCTGTTACAGTAACATTTCAATACCATTCTAAAGCATCAGCTCATAAGGGAGGGGTATCCCATGCGGAAAATGTACGTGTTATTTGCCTGTGGACTATTATTTTAATTATCATAACTTTAGTTATGATTTTGTATAGTTTGTAATGTGACTATTATCTCCTGGAAAGGAAACTATAATTAAAACCAAAACAATCCTATCTTCCTGTGTATAACTATACAGGGCACCCAAATATTTCTTTTTTTTAAAAACTTTTTTTAGGCCTATAATTATTTATTATTATGTTGATAATGAAAGAAATTCTCTGCCCTTGCCATTCTGTTGGCAGAGTTGCTTATCTGTGTCAGTGCCTTATCAAGCGAGACACTCCATGTTTCTTACAGTCCGTACAGGAAGAAAAAAAAAACTGTGTTGACTCAGGAACTGACTAAATCAAACCACAGTTTGTGGATGGCAATCTCTCAATTTGACCCAGTCCTTTGATATTCAAGCCAAAGAGCTGGGGGACAACAGTGCATCAAGGTCAAGCTCCTTAGCAAAGAGAAAAAAGGCCTGATATAATGCTTTTGTGTCACATTTTGTTACAGAAAAGGGAATAATGCATGCATCACTCCAAAGCTGTAAAAGAACAGGCAGGCTTAATTCACCCCGTATGCTTTGAAAGGCCAGGCTCACAACCAGGCCTTTATCTCTAGAGACTAAGGCTGTGCCTGGTCATTGTCTGCTTACTGAAGGTTCAGCAAAACAAATGGCATAACTGTTACAAAATGTTTTGAATTATTATTGGGTGACTTTTACTTTACAAATGTTTGTCTGTTCAGTGCTTCTGAGGAATATCTGTGGCTTTAGCAAGAGAAAGAGTTAGTGTGAATGTGTGTGTGTGTGTATCAGGATTTTGTTGCCAACCACACATTATGCAGTTAATGTACAGTACATGGGAGAGTGAATGCCTCTCTCATTGCTCTGTATATTAACTACTATGTTAAATGCATGATAACAACTCTTATTTTCATTTTAAACATATCTTGTGATGTTCCACTTTTTCATCACCATAGAAGTGCCGATATGTTCCTTTAGGAATGTTTTTGATGATCTTATTCTGTTTCTTATTTATTGAAATAGAGTTTAATTTTAACTTTGAATCATAACAGACCCTTGCTGAAAGGAATAAAGCCACAAAGAAAAAAAACAAATATATGTGGAATATAAGAAGATATAAAAATATATAAATATATTCTTTTGTTATATCTAATCTTGTATTTATCAAATTGTTTATAACAAAACGTGAATGTAAAGTATTTTAAACGTAAACGTCCACAGTCATAACATGGTGTTCGATGTATAGCTAAGATAAAATATTTAGAAAAAATATTCTTCAGTGTAACCTGGGCTACTTTGTCACATATGAATGTGAACAAATACACCCTGACTTTCCTGGACTATGTTTACAAAAATACTGTGTACAATACCAATGTCCTGTTAAACGTGAGTGACAACTATCTATGAAGAAGTCTGAAGTATATACACTGTGATAATAAAAAAATTCTTCTACACACACTTAAAGACCATGTGTTCTGATTGAATGTCAGTTTTGAGGTACTTTAGATATGGGTTCCTCCTGACTAATGGTTTAGTTTTACTGCTGACTGAGGGCTTCTCATAGCTGACTGTGCCTCTCCACTGTCTCACCCTTTGTTAGCCTGCTGCAACACTGGCACACAGGCCTTCACGGTACATTCTTTGCACCTTTGCTGGCTAATCTACTATTGTTCACAATTCTATGCTGCAAACATGATAGGTTTCCATGTTTGTCAATTACTCTTGAAGACATCATTTACAAAACACTATATACATCTGCAATGCTTGTGTTTTTACATAATACTGTATTTTAAACACTGGTTCTGGGTAGGTATTTACTGGAAGAATTTACTTTGGCATACAGAAAGTGATACGGTTTCTAGTATAAACTGCATGTTTTGGCACTTAGTGTATACAAATAAATGTAAGCGTTCCATTTTCAGCAAATAATAAAGACACGTTTTACCAAAGATTCAAGACTTTACATTGTATGTCATATAAGATGTTGTCTGAGCTCTATCGCCACAGACCAATATACCTTTTTAACTTTTCAACCATTATGGGGCAATAACATACATTGCCATCATACCCATAAAAGTTAAATAACTGACATCTTTTATTACTTATTTTTGTACCTTTTCACTGTGAACACACTACTAAAAAATACAGTTTAAGCAGTTATGGATAGCACAGCTCATATATAATAAATAGGAAACTAGGTAAACAAGAAAGACTGCAGAAACAAACAAAAGGGAAAAGCAACAATCTTTCAAAATATAGTGAACACTGATATTGCCTTTTCAGGATAAAAAGCAAGATAAGCAGGAACTGAGGATTTATGAAAATATAAACTTTTTATGTACTTGTAATTGTGACTTTTGATAACACTTATCTGGTAAAAAGTAATAAATCATAAAGTTCACTCCCTATGATAGGGAGTGAACTTTATTACTTTTTACAACTAGGACACTCAAAATGTCTTCATGTAAAACTCCTTCAAGAAATGCAAAAGGGTACAGTGTGTTGACCAGCTGTAAAGCTATCTGAAGGCAGTGAATTTATAGCAACTTATTGGTAGATATGACCTGGCTTTTTTGGGAGTACAACCTGGATCCTATCCAACACACAACTTAAGGAAAAAGAGTATGTTAATATGTTAAGCCAGTGGAATGCCTGCGTAGAAGGCACCCAACAAGCATCACCTGCAGGCAGGGATGGGTGCCAGCAGGGAGGGTGCTGGCAGTGTTTAGCCTTGTTGCTTCACAGCAAGAATGTCTTGGATTCGAACCACATACATGGTTGTCTGTATATGAGCCCTGTGACTGGTGACCTGTCCAGGTTGTTCCCAACCTCTACATGTTAGAGCGGGAGTCTGACCTGAAATCACTCAAACATCCAACCATCAGGACCTCCAGCTTTCTGTGACGTTTTCCTCAGGTAAACCTACCGGCTAACGACTATTAATCTCTCTCTGTCACCATAATATTTTACAGCGTGTGTTACTACCTTCAACTATCAAGAACCACCCACTGGACAAGAGACAAGCCTGCAATTCATGTGTTCTAACCCCACTTAAAAACTAACTGAAAGTAGTATGTCGTAGCGCTTTGCCGTAGGTCA